GTCATTAGCACCTCTAGTAATATATTTACTGAGAAAAATGTTGACGTGTTCAATACTTATTTTACCTGCTGTATAAGAATGAATCTTTGCGTATTTCACATCACAGTTAGCTGTAATGCAGTAGAAAAAAAAACACATAATAGTTTTATTATGTAACAGCACTTGTTTAGGTGCAGTTTTGACTTGTTTGTGATTGTGCTACTGTTTCATGTTTCCCAAACATCCCTGGTTGAAGAAGGTCCCTCAKGTTCACTGCTTAAATGACCTCGGAGCCTGATTGGATTGTTGAGCGATCAGCCTTCTACCCTGGAGACTCCTCACTGGACAAACATCCTCTTTTAATCAGTCTTTTATTCCCCTTAGAATAATCTGTTTGCAAGGTTCAGTTCGTTTGGGGATTTTGGTTGGTTCTCAGAGGTGGTCAGTGTTTTTTTTTTTCTTCTTGTTGCTGACGGCAACCTAAGGTGTTTGTGAGAAGACAACATACTGTATATAGATTAGTCTGAGAGTATTTTTAGTATTCTGTGGGATTATAAATGCACCATGTCTGACACGTAGTTTTTTTTTTAAAATAAAATAGTGGTTTGGTCCAATCGTTACAAAATAAGGTAAAGAACAAAAAACAAAATTACTGATTTTCTCCTTTTGTTTCTGCTTGATGGCCTTTGGTGCWTCAAATGTTCTCCCTGTCTGTGCTTTTCTCTCTCACACCTGCTGTGCCCCAATAACTACCCCATAAGTGTTGGAGTAGTAAATGACTGTGCAAAGCGTCTACTGTAAATAAACTCATTTTTCTTTTCTCTTTGCCTTTTACATGTTTTTTTCCCCCAGCATCTCTTGCTGTTGTTTTCCCACTTTCCTTCACTTTCTGCCTCACTTTGATTCACCCACATGGGTGTGCACACACCCACCCACCMACACACACACATAYACACACATGYGCACACTCTCAGTCACTCACTCATCTGTCTCTTCTCAACCAGCCACGTTCCAGTAGAGGTAATGGCTCCAGGGTAATTGTTCAAATTGTCACTTGGCCTTTTGGTGAGAGCAGTGAAGGGAAGAAAGTACTCCTCTTGCAGTAATTCTCTGTCTTTTTTTCCCTCTGTGTCTCTTTTCTTACTCACCCCTTTTTTATTTAATTTCAACTTGAAAAAAGATTTAACTGTGTGGTAAAGTTCTTTCTTTTTGAATTGCAGTTGACCAGAATTACTGTAAGTCCAGAGTTTTAAAACTTTTCCATCTGTTCTGTTACAGCTCACATAAACATTTGTATACAAATACATGTAATACTGCATTTGTGTATATTATACTTTAATGTGTTACTTTATAATCATATCTCCCCACTTGTATGCACATGATATTGGTTGTGTGCTACACTGCATGTTTGTTATATTCATTTAATTTAAGATAATTTAAAGTTACAACAAAAAAAAAACAGTGTTAGATGTCAAACAATTCAACCATTGATTTGCAGGGAGAACCCATTGACTTGAACTAATTTGCAGTCCTTGTTCTTGGTAAGTGTCAAAAAGAGCCACAACTTCTAAACTACATGTGTCAAACTCGAGGCTCGTGGGCCAAATGTGGTCCATGCCCCCCACCCAAAAAATAATAATAATAATTTATAAAAAATATATAAAAATAGCTTCTATTATTATATATGTATATATGTATRTGTATGTGTATGTATGTATGTATATGTGTATGTGTATGTATATATGTATGTGTATATGTATGTATGGATGGATGGATGTATGTGTATATGTATATATATGTATGTGTRTATGTATGTATGTGTGTATGTATATATATGTATGTGTGTATATATGTATGTGTATGTATGTATATGTATATATATGTATATATTTATATTTATATATGTTTATGTGTGTGTATGTATGCGTATGTATATATATGTATATATATGAAAGTGTTTGGATATGTAGGTAGGGGTATGGTTGTGTATRTATTTGTATATGTAAATGGGTATGGTTTTCAGCAAGGCTWAAGTCATTATAATTACATAGTTGTGCATTTTTGTTGCTGTGGTTTTGCTATCTTTGTTTTGTAGGTGTGGAGCCGAGAAGTCCGGTGTGCTGTCTTGTGTTTTCTCAACATATATTTTACATATCTTCTAATCTCTTCTTCACTCTTTCTCATTGCATTTCACTTTTTTCTTTTTTCTTCTATTATTAAAAAAATAGTTTCTAATATCAATGGTAAACTTTAAATTTACAGTTAAATTCAACAAAATAAAGACATTTAAAAGGTGAAAGGTAATACTTGTCCTGTCCCTGAGCTGTTGGCTTTAAGTAACTGAGCAATTTAGTTGTATAGCACAGTAATAATGTCTCAAAATAAGCTGCTTCAAAGCCAACATTGATCGTAAACTACATCTCCCATAATGCATGTTGATCGTCCATGGGAATTCCCTGTCAGAAAGTGGGAGAATTCAGAAGTGATGGCAGCTACTCACCACAACTCAACAGTGAGTGAAACTCTTTTACTTCTACTTTTAATAGTATTTCTGTATTATTTATTTCAGATTTAGTCAGTCGTACACATTGTACCTTTCAGTGTTTATAAGAGAACATGCTAAACTTTTAGTTGAAGTTAAACATGAAACATCAAAGTTAACTACAACTGACTGACTCTTTGAGGGCCACCATAACGCTCATGTGGCCCTCAGTGAAAATGAGTTTGACAGCCCTGTTCTAAACCATCTCTACTGATTTGCACACGTCTAAGTAAATGAGCAAATGTGA